TGTAACCAGAGGGTTTAAATGGGTACCCCCTAGTTGGGGTACAGATACAGCAGATAGTGTAGAACCTTTGGGTGAACTACTTAAATTAGGCACTCAAAAGATGCACGTGTAGCTATATATACTCTCGTTGTAACTGTAATATGTTATATATCTACTTAATAAAAAAGTCCTCAAGCCGTAGAGGTTACCTAATACTGAAAAAAAAATAATAATAATTTTAACTTTTTTCTAATTGCAGATTCTCTCTAAATGCAAGTCAATGTACTGGTCCTGACAACATGTACTTAAAGGGAGTCGACTGTATATAATAGAGATTTTTGGTTATTTTTTATTAAGTAAAAGTAGTTTTTATATACATAAGTCAAAATTGTACTAAGTAAATATAAAAATACACATATTTTAAAATTTTCATACAATTTGGATAACTTTTTATTAGTACACTTTTGCATTTTAAATTTGAAATTAAAATATAAAAATATATTAATAAAAAGTTATTGAAACTTTTGAATACAGTCAGACCTCTCTAAATGCATGTTGTTGGGACCAGCTCTAGTATGTGCATTTAGAGAGGTATTGCATTTAGGGAGGTAAAAATCTATAGATGTAATATTAATTGGACCCAAAAGAAGACATGCATTTAGAAAGGTGCTGCATTTAGGAAGAGTGCATTTAGAGGGGTCTGACTGTATATGTATTTTTAAATTCTGAACAACTTTCATTAAGTGACAAATATATATTTACTTAGTACAATTTTGACTTTTATATATAACAACTATTAAAAATTTTTAAAAAATTTAAAGGTAGCTTATTTTCAGGTAAGAGAGGTTTTTTAGTTTTTTGCTCAAAAGAGAGGGGGTAGCTTATTTTTGGAGTAGCTTATTTTCAGGAATATATGATAACTCTAAATTTTAGCCAAAACTTATTAATAGTATAAACACTATAGATACATTTTATTAGGGTTGTTAATGGAGTACTCTAGCTAGACATTAATAAAACATATACCCCACTTCTGAGTGGGTTATATGTTTTACTATTGACTGGAGTGCTCCATTAACAACCCTACATTTTATATATATTGCTATATATATAAAATTTTTCTGTGCCAAAGCCACGATTACATACTATATGAGTGCCGCCAAGGGAAAACCTGTTATCGGGCTTTCAATTATATCTTGTATATATCGATCGATATATACCAGACATATTCCCTAAGAAATTAAATAGATTTTGTCCGGTCAAAATATAATCGAAAGCCCGATGACAGGTTTTCCCTTGGCGGCACTCATATAAAATAGTTATTAATCTAAATTATATAGTTTATAAAACCTCCGTGGCAAAGCCACGGGTTACAGCTAGTAAATTATAAAAGTCCCCAAGTATGCCTTATGACTTCATCGTTTTACAAGAGATGGTAAATCTCTAAAGCACGTGAATTATAATAATCTTGAATCAAACCAATCAGAACTAATATCTCGATATATAAAAATCAAACTTTGCATGAGATAACGATAAATTATGGTAATTAAACGAAAACGCAATTCGAATCCGACTGTTCCAATTTTGGTGACAGGGACTAAGCTGGATACTACGACACATTCTAATAAGGTTGAACGTCGAGGGCATCGAGGACTTACACGAAAATTCGGTGTTTTTTCAAAACTTGCTGAATCTTCGGATGCAGAAGAACTTGAAATTAGGCGTTTAGAAAAAAAATTAGGAATTAAATCGGGTGACAAATTGACGAAAGCCTTTGTTGAAGATGGATTAGACGGTATAGATTTTTTAGAATAAAATATTTCATTGGGGTAGACCAGTGTTTAAAATTTAAATGATTTTATATTCTCAATAATACACCAAGTTTTTTAAATTTTTTTTAAATAGAGAACATATTTTAATAATTTATGTTCTCAAAAATTGTGTAATGTTCTTAGAAATGCTGACAACATCAGATTTTAAACATTGGGTGACAGTCACTGGGTGAGAATGGTCTGTCATACGTAACAAAGAAATTCTTTGCAAAAGTATACTATATCCTAACCCCCGTTCCTGTGTGGGGAATGGACTAGGAAAACCACCGTCTGACACTTGCTTTCAGATAGGGGGTTTCCTGTCAAATCCCCATGTTATAAACCAATTCGGTTAATGTACTGCCGGTGTCAAAGCATTTTTTCTTGCTTTTAATCCTATATTGTTTTATTATATATAGGTTTATTAGAAGGATTTGAGATCGGCTCTAAAAGGTCGAAATCAGCTAATTTTTTGAAGGATTCAGGTTCAGAGCAAATTAAGGTGAATTCTGAATTCTGAAATACTATTTTTTGGAGCCTTGCATCGAAATTTATGTCTTTCTGATTATTTTTAGGATGATGATACTTTTGAAACAGAGGAATCAGAACATTTTGAGGATTTCAATGTAATAGGCGAATTGAATGAAGGTGAAGACAATCTTTGCGAAGTTGATGATGTTCAGCAGCTTGAACACGTCACGAAAGTTGACTCAGGTACGTTTGTAAAACCATTCCTTATACATAAAAACCGGGTTCAATCGGGTTTAATGTAAAATTAAACCGATTTCAACTTGTTCAACTCAATTATCACAAATCATATAGTGATGATCACATGTGATATCATCGTAATGCGTCAAATCGGTCATATGTTTGGCCATTCGCCAAATATTTTTTATATACAGGCCACTCTAACACTTTCCAATAACAAAGATGTCGGTAGAAGGTCTTCATCTTAAGTATATAGGTTCAAAATTTTAAAAAATGTCGATATAGCTCGATATAACCAGAGTGACGTGTATAGTAAAGTCAGCGATTTGATTAGAAGCCCTTGGCCAAAGTTTGGCTATTTGCAATTGCTAAAATATTTTCTACGCTTAAAATTTGCGTTCGTCGGTACTATTCCTGACAGTAGATAGATATTCATTGAATATCCAATATTTGGTTACACAATGGATAGTCAAGGGTTTGTAATTGATATAATTGATTCATGAATATTTGCGTGAATATTGATGCCGCCATTATAAGAATGACCCAGACTCGACATCACGCTGTGACA